TTCTTGAGTGTGAGCTGAAGACAGCCCTGCCTGCATCGTCCAGTCATAAGTGTGTGCTGAATACGATCCTGCATGCATCATTTCTTCGTAAGTAAGAGCTGAAGACGGTCCTGCCTGCATCATCAATTCGTGAGTGTGAGAAAGACTGTCCTGCCTGCATCATCGATTCGTTAGTGTGAGCTGAAGACTGTCTTGCATACATCATCAATTTGTGGGTGTATGGTAAAGATTGTTCTGCATGCATCATCCATCCGTGGGTGTGAAGTAAAGACTGTCCTGCCTGCATCATGGATTCGTGGGTGTGAGGTGAATATTGCCCGGCCTGCATCGTCCAGTCATAAGTGTGAGCTGAAAACGGTGCTGCCTGCGTCATCCCTTTGTAAATGTTAGCTGAAAACGGTCCTGTCTGCATCATCCATTTATGAGTGTGAGCTGAAGACGGTTCTGCCTGCGTCATCCCTTCGTAAATTTGAGGTGTAGACGGTCCTGCTTGTGTCATCCCTTCGTAATTGTGAGGTGAATACGGTTTTTCCTGTGTCATATTTTTGTAAATGTGAGCTGAAGACGATCCTGCTTGCATCATCTCTTCGTGAGTGTGAGCCGAAGAAGGTCCTGCTTGCTCTAGACTTTCATTTGGGTCATTTGATTTTCTCTCATGGAATTTACTATGCAAATCATATTTTTCTGTCTTCGCAGTTCTTCCAGGATCGTGAACTATTTTGTGTTCTTTTAAGAGTTTACTAGTGGTAAAAGATTGAGAACAAATTTTGCACTTAAACGGTTTTTCTTCTGTATGCAATTGCTCGTGAACAGTCAATGTAGTTTTATATTTGAATGTTTTGTCACACATTTTACATCGAAAAGGCTTTTCGTTCGAGTGTTTTGTTAAATGTTGTTCTAAACCAGATTTATATGAAAAAGCCTCCGAGCAAAATTCACACTCGTAAACTTTATGTATATCACTATTCCCATCGATTTTATCAAAACTCGTATGGCGACGATTCGATTTATCTTCCATTTTGTTATAGGTTACTTGCGGGCTCTCTGTAAAAAAAGGTTCCATTTTAGGTAATAAATATAAATGTTGCACATATAAAACATTTTATTTAAGTTTTAACGTTTGAAAAATTCTAAATACAAATTTAAATGTATTAAACGAATTAAATAGATAACTTGTTTAATGTTAACCTTATATTTTGCATAACAATAAACTTAAACTACAACTTTAAGGTATTAAACATACTCTGCAGAAGAACTCGTCAAGTGTTATGAAGAAAACAATAATAAGTCTCCAAAAAATATCGATAGATGAATAAATTCAAATAAATCGAACCGTTTAGAGACAGTATAAATAATTAGGAAACAGATAAAAACTCAAAGATAGTTAACAAATAAGCTCTTAACATTTACAACTTACTGAAAAATCATAAAGAGAAGCTAAAGAAACAATAATAAACTGGAGTATACAATATACTTTATGAAAATCGACAGATAGGCCTTTAAAAGGATTACTTTGGTGTCACATAAAAAAATCTAATAGGAAAACAACTACATTGTACGACAAGGCCATAGTAATACATTCTTAGCAGCATTGCAGCAGGTGGAAAGATTAGTTTTAAAGTAGGATGATGCGAAAATCATTATAAAGTCACATTCTCCAACTATCGCTATGGATATAAAAAAAAAATATGAATTTATAAGAGCAAGATGAAACAGNCGATTTGGACATAAAAACCCTTTAATTATGTGCCTACCTATAATTATAGTTAGCTGTCATAGATTTTTGTATATATTTTTCTTATACGCATATTTATTTGTATTTTGTTAACTTTGTATATTTTTTATGTTCATTTTTTTTATTGTTAACCTTATATTTTTCACAAGTTATGTAGCTGTTTAAAATGGATATTTAATACAACTAGTTACAAAACGTAAACTAATAAAAAATATATATTAAAAATTCTAAGTCAATGCTCATCAAACAATATAAACCATTAAAAGTATTCATTAAATTTTAAACATTAAAAGAGTATTAACCGTCTAACCTGACTGTATTCAATGTCTTTTAGTAACACTGATTACTCTTAAGATCATTTATTTTGTTGAAATTTCCTTTAAGATGAGTGCAGGAATATCGATTAAAATAAACGATCCAAATGCTTGCTTCAGCATGTTGTAAAAGTTTAAAAGTTTTCGTCATCAATGAATAAATTAAGAATCAAATTAAAAAATGTTCTTGTTATATTGAAAGTACATGTACAGGCAGACACTATTACTGCATTCATTCGAAGTAAAGAGCAGCAGTAAGCAAATCAATACTTTTTTAGCTACTTAAAATGTTGCTTAAAAGAACCAATTTTCAATTATTACTTCATTTAAACATCGTATAAATTGTTTTACTTGACAAGAAACAATAAAAACGTAATTAATGAACGAGAAAATACGTTTTCTACTTGATCACTTTTTGACATAATGCGATTTGAATAGATATGAAATGTTTGGAAACAATTAATATAATTTTATCACTATAAAAGTTATTGTTAATTTATTATTATTAATTAATTTTAAAATATAAATGAAAGTGATGACTGATTATTTAATAAAGGTTTTATACTTACGAAAATCTTTCTTTATTTACAAGGGATAGTTTCACGTCTTTCCTTTTCAAGTATTGGTGAAAACGTTGCTTAATTATCATGAATATATTTCAATTATATTTGTGACAAATGAATAAAATTTCGAATTGTTTGTTAATAATCAACAGTTTTATTTTTAGTTCGGTTTTGCATGGGAATTAATAATATTTCTGGATTTTGTCAAATTACTAATTTACATAATTGTGTAGTTTACTAAATCGAGTTCAGCACAAAAGTACAAGCAATACTCCGGTTTTTAATTGTGAAAATAATTTAAAAATATTACTTTTAAATGAAATTTTCTTACGTTACGAATTGATTGTGTTAAAAACTTATCGAACTTAACGAAAATATTCGCTTTAAAATAGAGGCATTGTCTAATAATGTGACATTTATTCAGATGGATAATCACACCAATAACGTAACTCGTTTCATTTCAAACCAGTTATTTTATTAAATTACTTATTTAGATGCAAGGGCGTAATCAGGATTTTTTGATTGGGGCTAAAATAAAATAACGTTGTTTATTAAAAAATAAATGTATTTGAAGATTTGAAAACGCTAAAAGTAATTAGTTGCATGCTATTCGAACCTATGTAATCTTATTTTAGCACTAGCTTACAGGTGTTCTG